TTAATATTAATATTTATATCAATAATAAGGCGGGTCGTAAACAAAATGACCCCTATATGTATCTACTCCATCAAGAACCTCTGAACCGCCTTGACGCTGGGCCCCACCACGTCCCTCTCCCACGCGTCCTCCACTCTCCTCCTGCACGCGCCGTCCATCTCCGCCCTGACCGCCGCCGTGGCGTCAACTCTTATCAGTTCCCACCCGGCCTCGTCCCTCAGCCGCCGTATCTTCCCCAGCTGCCTCTTCGCCAGCCGGCACGTGTTCTCCTTCACCGCCCTCACAGCCTCATCGTACGCCCTCCTCTTCTCCGCGTCGCCGCCGTCTATCCTCCAGTCGCCGCCGTACCTCTCGAAGTACCCCTTGAACTCAGGTACCCCAATCGCCTTCCCCAGCCCGCCCCGGCCCGCATCGGGGCCCGCGAAGTACTCGGCCAGCTCCTCCATCATCCCCGCCTCAAGCATCTCGTCGACCCGCCTCCCGAGGTACTCCTCGAGCACCGGCGGCGACACGTCGACCCACACGAAGCAGCAGGCGTACCGGAGCTCCCGGCAGAGGGCCGGGCCGGCCCAGCCCGAGAGGGCCTCGGCGGCGTCGGGGGAGGAGAAGCGGCGGGCGAGGAGGGCGTAGACGAAGGAGTTGGAGCCGCCGACGACGAGGGGGAGTCGCCGGCGGGAGGAGATCCGGGAGACGGCGGCGCCGGCGGCGGAGCGGAAGTCGGCGGCGGAGAAGTGGTCGGAGGGGCGGAGGACGTCGAGGAGGTGGTGGGGGACGCCGCGGCGGCCGGAGGCGGGGGTCTTGTTGGTGGCGACGTCGAGTCCGCGGTGGATTTGGATCTTGTCGGAGTTGATGATCTCGGAGGAGGGGAAGAAGCGGGAGGCGAGGTCGACGGAGAGTTTCGACTTGCCACAGCCAGTGGCGCCCATTATGACGACGACCTTCTGCCTGTGGCGGCGGGGGGCGGGACGGCGGTCGGTGCAGGCCATAGGAGGGAATTTTACAGAGGAAAT